ATATATATGCACACATATGCTCTGTAATGATGAGCTCAGGCACCAAGAGCAGCCTCAGCTCACACGGAGGTTGTGTTTTAAACTCACCTTGGACACGGTTATGAAGCAATTTCACCAAAAAGCATCATCACCTGATGTCTTACACACTCCAACTCATCAGAACACCTTTATATTCCAATTAAAAGCCCTAATTGGGCAGTGATGGCACAGCACGGCCTGTGCAGGAAGCAGAAGCCCCAGCGTTTCCCCAGCCGTGATGCTGCAGATGCTGCGCCATCATCACCGTGCACCAGGACACGGCCCAGGTCTCTTGGGCAGCAGAGGACACGGGCACCGCTGGACCAAACCATCGCCCTCTGCCCAGCATCACGGGCACAAACCCTCTGCTCATGAAGTTTCTCAGGTTTGCTTCGTTTTCCCTTTAACGGGAAGAGTGGAGACGCGCTCCTCACCACACAAACCTGTGTTAGTGCTCTCACGGTCACAGAGCCCAATTAATGGGGACAGGGAGACGCTTTAACGACCACACCGGGAGAGGAGCAGCCCGGACCCATAAATCACATTTACAGCCGCACCGTGCTCGCTCTGCCTGACGTGAGCAGCAATTTCCAGCCCCACACCACCTCACCTTGTACTGGGGGCACTGGTGGGGCTGGGGACGGTGCCCAGGGAGGATCTGCTGGTGCCTGGTGCTGATTACCCCGCTATGCCCATTTGGTTACAAGGAAGGCACAGCCCGGAGGTGCGAAGGGATGAGGAGCTGAGGGCGCTGCCTTCAGCCAGTCCTTGCCGTTTACTGAGGCTGATTTTTGGGGACTGAGACATTCCCTGCACGAGCCAGGCTCCCATTTGCCATCCACATTAACACGGCGCCTGGTCAGACTTGTGTCTGGAGGGAGCATCACCAAGACAGGAAATCGATCTCTTAATTCTGTAACACCTCCCAACAACGGCCTTCGCCAGAGAGACGCAGCCATTTACGCCTTGGAGAAGAGCAAGGACGGACATCTGCGATTGCCAGATGTAACAGTACGTCAGTATTACCTTTGGCCAACGTTTAATTTTTAAATCAGAAATATGGTGTTAAGCGGCAATCACGCATACACATAGCATCCTTTTGTTTTGGGCAGGAGGCACTCTTGGTTTGCCTGTCATGCCCAACATCCAAGGCCACGGGAGAAAAATCAAGTTATCTGTTTAATGATATATGATCAGGATGTATTTTATGACACATCATTACCTGAATGGACTGCATTCCCAAACCATAACAAAGTGTGTAACAACAATTTGGAGCTGGGACCTGGAAACCTGTTAAGTCTCCAGAAGGGATTCAGCATTTTGGACGGCACATGGGGTGCAATGGTCTGCGTCCATCCACAAGCAAACTGTAATTGAGCAGGCTCCAGAGAGTCCCTGTTTTCCTGACTATGACCCCAAATCGTGCATCCCCTCCTGTCAATGCCGGGGACAAGTTGGCGTTAACCAGTGAAGAAGTGGCACCGTACCCTGCAGCATCCCTTCTGGTACCTCCATGGCTTCGGGACCAATGCTCTTCCCCAGGGATAATCCCAGGTGCAAGAGGAGCCAAATCTCAGGGGGGTGACAGCAAACGCAGAGGACGCTGCCCAGCCCTCCCCAAAACCCTCCCCGGCCATCAGGTAAACCTGCCGAAGCCACCACGCACCCAAGCTGCCAGCAGCTCTTCACACCAGAGGTGCTATCGTCAAAAGCTGGCTGTTTTATCCTTGGTGACACAATGACAACAGCAATTCTGACGGGAGAGGCATTTCACACACCTGGGGGAAACTCAACGCAAGGCAGACAGCCGCTGGCTGCCAGGGACCGCTCACAGCAATTACATCTTCCCCACCACTGTACTCAATCGTGACCAGCGGCTGTGATTCAGCGCAGTAAAACAACACAGAACCCCAGCATGGAGGAGCTGGCGTCGCTGATCACCCACGGCAGCTCCTGCGGGGAACCTGCAACCAGCTCCAGTCGGCCCAAATTAAGAAATACACCCAAAAGGAACAGTCCTGAAGTGGGAGCTGCGCCGGCACTAACGCTGCAGGTAAGAGATTTTCCTCTCTTGGAGTTATGTCTTCCTAGCCCTGTCCTTCCCAGGGTCTTTTCCCGAGAGCCCTGGGGAAATGGGGACATGGGTTCAGAGGCGTTTTGCTCACAGCATCCTTGTTTAAAGTGGGAGCTGTAGATGGCCCCAGCCCCATGAACCCTCTGAGCCCCCCAAGCCCTATGAGCCCTCCAAGCCCCATGAGCCCTATGAGACCTCCAAGCCCTATGAGCCCCCCAAGCCCTGTGAGCCCTATGAGACCTCCAAGCCCTATGAGCCCCCCAAGCCCTATGAGCCCTATGAGCCCCACAAACTCTGTGAGCCCCGCAAGCCCCATGAGCCCTATGAGACCTCCAAGCCCTATGAGCCCCCCAAGCCCTATGAGCCCTTCAAGCCCCATGAGCCCTATGAGCCCTCTAAGCCCCATGAGCCCCCCAAGCCCCATGAGCCCTATGAGCCCCCCAAGCCCTATGAGCCCTATGAGCCCCACAAACTCTGTGAGCCCCGCAAGCCCCATGAGCCCTATGAGACCTCCAAGCCCTATGAGTCCCCCAAGCCCTATAAGCTCTCCAAGGCCCGTGAGCCCCTTGAGCCCTGTGAGGTCTATGAGACCTCCAAGCCCTATAAGCTCCCCAAGCCCTGTGAGCACTATGAGACCCCAAGCCCTATGAACTCCCCAAACTTTATGAGACCTCCAAGCCCTATAAGCTCCCCAAGCCCTGTGAGCACTATGAGATCCCCAAGCCCTATGAACTCCCCAAACTTTATATGTGAGGTCTATGAGACCTCCAAGCCCTATAAGCTCCCCAAGCTCCATGAGCTCCCCAAGCCCTGTGAGCACTATGAGACCCCAAGCCCTATGAACTCCCCAAACTTTATGAGACCTCCAAGCCCTATAAGCTCCCCAAGCCCTGTGAGCACTATGAGATCCCCAAGCCCTATGAACTCCCCAAACTTTATGAGACCTCCAAGCCCTATGAGCTCCCCAAGCCCTATGAGGCCCCTGATATCCCCAAGAGCATCTCAGCACCCCACAGCTTCAGCCCCAGCTGCCCCCGAGGTCCCCGGGCACAGGGACACGGTGCAGCAGGTTTGTCCCCCTGCAGCGTTAACTGGTGATGAAGGTTCGTATCCAAGGTACAGTCACCCTTCTGCTGGTGCTGTAAATGACTCCTAAGAAAGGGAAACCACAGGGGCAGGAGCTGGGATTTGGCTGAGCAAAGCCCTGCAGCCCAGCCACCACCATCACTGCACAAATCCCTCATGGACTCCCCCCCGGACGCCAGCCGATGGAGTTGGTGCCCTCAGCACAGCAACTCAGCACGAAGCCACCACTACCACTACATTACAATGGAGAAGAAAACAGCTCCTCCACCCCAAATAATCACCACAGCCTTCCCACGCCCACGCAGGAAATGTTTTCACGTGAGCCACGGGCACTGTCTCCCCATCCCCACTGCCCGCGCTTTCCATGCCCCTTTGCAGCAGAAGTGCCTGGGGAACCTGCACAAAGCATCTTCAAGATGTCCGTGAGGAAAACCCTGCTCAGGGGCACGCTTGCCTCTGCCTAAATGCTAAACTAATCCTAATTAGTTACTTCTTTCCAACCAAAACCAAGAGTGTGAACAGGAAACTGTCTGAATTTAGAAGAGAATGGCATTTCTTCACGGTGCTGTTTGCCTGCAGCCACCCCCACGGGGCCGGGAGGGAGGGCCACCGAGATGACCCTGCTTCACTGACACACAAGAACATCCCCATGGCCAAAAAACCCAAATACATCATCATTTAGCACATCAATGTTGTTGGAAATGCCCATAAAAAAGCTGGTTACCAGCAGTGCTGGTTACACAACACCAGCCCAAAATCTGCCAGCTTCGGAGCCTCTACGCCACGTCCCGAGTCGCACCCATCGCCAGTGGGAACGCCCAGGAAAGAGGGCCACAATTCGTAACGACAGCCAAATTGGTTGTCACCCATTAACGGCGCCGAAGGAAGCAAGGGAGGCCGTTACCTTCTCATGGTTTTCTATCAGAATCTCAATCACGATGTTCTGAAATTTGATGTCCATAATGGCAGCGACGGTTTCCTCCTGAGGTCGCAGCAGCGTCGGCCCAAACACCACACCCAGATTAGCAACGGTCATCAGGTTCTGCTTGTGGTTATTTGCGACCCTGGAAAAGAAACAAAAAATGAAGGCAAAAAATCAAGAAAAAGCAGGTGCTGGAACCAATCCGCATGGAAATCTCCCCTCCCTGATGGCTGGCACCAAGCTCCCGATGCTCTTTGCATTTTTTCACTGCTCCTTGAAGGCCCAGCCATGTGGAAAAGTACAGATTTAACTGTTGTGTTACGAGATTGACTCATCCCTGCAAACCCCGGCACTGCGCCGGCCACCGAGTCTCACATTGCAAACCACTCCCAGGAAAACATCTTGAATCATTAATGCTGAAAACCCTTCTGAAAACAACTTGCTGGACCTCGGACACACGCTGCTGTCCAACCGAACAAGTGACCTCATTTGTTCCAAAATCCAGCTCCTTCTCACCCGTTTCAGTTCCGCCTGCACCAGAGGTCAGCCCCATCCAGCACAACCAGACAGGGGGCAAGGGGAAGATGGGGCTTCACCCCGGACCCTCACACGCGTCCCTCTCCACCCCAGGGAGGAATCCACCGACACAGACACTGATGTGTGTTTTGGGGGGGTTACTTTGGACCAGCTGCAGTCTGGGCCCTGGTCTGAGCAGTGCAAAGCATCATCAGCCCTAACGGGGCACATCCTCAGCCCTGGAGTGTCCAGGTGCTGGGATGGTCCATGGAAACATCGAGTTGAGGGATGGACCAAGCTCTCTGGGTACCATGAGCTCCAGTTGTCACACGATGGGGGATGCAACCTGGAGGGTCTCCCTCTGTGTCCGGGTGCTGGGATGGTCCATGGCAACGTGTGGTTGAATCCCAGAATGTGAGAAGTTGGAAGGGACCTGGAAAGCTCCCCCAGTGCAACCCCTGCCACAGCAGGATCACCAGAGCAGTCACACAGGAACACGGCCAGGGCTTTGGGTGTCTCCACACAAGGAGACTCCACAACCTCTCTGGGCAGCCTGGGCCATGCTCCAGAACCCTCACACTGACAGAGTTAGGCCTCATCTTCAGCTTGAACCTCCTGTGCTCCAGCTTGGGACCATTGCCCCTTGTCCTGGCATTGCCCATCCCAGAGCAGAGCCTGGCTCCTTCCTCCTGACACTGCCCTTTCCCAATGGATCCCCATGAGGCACAGACCGAGCTCTCCGGGTATCGCGGGCTCTGGCTGTCACACACCAGCACACGTACAGGTGACGCAGCGGGGACCTGCGGTGGAAGCCCCACAGCCCCATCGCGGCGACGCTTTCCTGTGGTTTTCTCCTGACCTCTTCAACCAGGAAACCCGACAACCCCAGGCAGTGCGATCACACGATCTCAGCCTCAGAGGGGTGTAAGTGCCTTTCCCTTTCCTCTTCCTCTCCCGTTTTCCCTGGACAAACGCAGTAGGCTGCCACAACGTGAGGCCGAGATCTTGCTGGCTTGTCCCCAGAAATGACTGCCATGAGCTTCACTCCTGTCACAGTGCTCATTCCTGTGCACGCTCAGCTCAATTCAGCGCAGCCTAAGCTAGGGCTGGCTTAAGAGAAAATGTTTGGGGTGGGAAGGGAGCTCTGGAGATCACCCAGACCAAGCTCTGCCAGAGCAGGGTCACAGGAAAGATGCTTTCCATCCTTTTTCACCCAAATCTCACTTGACTCTTCAGTGTTTTTTCAGGGGTGACAACCTCACGGAGCGGAGAGGAAGGCAGAGGAAGTCCAATAGGAAATGAATTCTTGCTTAGGAAAAAACCTGCTTATTTAGAGGAAAAATCTCTACTTCCATAGGGATCCAAACCCTTTCTCCCACCCCAACCCACCTCCTTGTCGAGACATCTACGAACGACATTGTCATCCGCAGTTCAGACACACGTTCCCGTGCTCCTATTTGGATTTTGGGGAGAAAAAAACCCAAGTACCTACAACTCGAATAGTTTGGAAAATTCCTAATAAAACAATAGCTGTAAAGATCTGCTGCGGTTGGTGAAACAACGCTCATGTATAAAATAACCAACTGAATTGATCTAAGCCTGAGAAAACGAGCTCCCTCCGTTTCTCATTACCCTCACCATGTAACACGTCGCTCTAATCAATTGGCTCATTAGGGCCAGGCAGCTGTGCTCTCCTGTTAATTATTGCAGGCTGAGCCGCTCATGGGTTCCCGGCTGGGGCTGAGCACCCAGACCCAAGCACCCATCACTGGCGCTTCACCTTTCGCATGCTGCACACCCCACCCCCGTTACACACAAAATCATAGGATGCTGTGATTATCTGCGTGATGATTCACTGTAAGTTACCCTGCTCCAAAAGCAGCTGCACCGATGTTGGTGTAGACGATAACTTGCCCGCGATAAGCCTTTATACTTTCCAGAACATCGAAAATCAGGCGTTGCACTAACGGCCGTATAGAGGGGCATTAAAGGATGACCAGATTTAGGAAAAGGGGCACAGAATGCCCAGGAAGCGTTGCAAAACCGCATAATCACAAGGTTGATGGGTGCCGATCTGTAAAGTTAATTCTCGTGCTTATTGTAATTTCACAGAATCACAGAATCGCTCGGTTGGAAAAGCCCTCTGAGATCATCACGTCCAACCGTTCCTGTCTACCCCCTAAACCATATCCCTAAGTACCTCGTCTACCCGCTCTTTAAACACATCCAGGGATGGTGACTCCACCACCTCCCTGGGCAGCCTGTGCCAGCTTCTGACGACCCTCTCAGTAAAGAACTTGGAGTAAAGTACCACAATTTGGAGTCTTGTGGTACTAAACCACAGGAGTTTCACCCAAGTCCCCAAAGGAGTAATTAGGTACCCAAAAAATTTTGGGTTTTCTTTACTTATTGCCACCCTGTAATGAGCCAGTAAAGCACAGACAGAAATAACAACGTTTATAAGATGAACATCAGATTTAGCCCCCAAAATGACGCCATCCATATAAGCAAAAGCAAACCAGTCCACAAACATCCTCCTAATGTGCTGAAAAATGATAATGGTGAATTGAGAGAGGACGGCCCAATGCCCAACCCCATAGGTGCTTTCCTAAAGCCACAGATTTGAGGATGCAACACCCGCAGCAGGAGCCAGTGCCCGATTTCAACCAACACTGATTGACCCATGGCCACCAAATCACGTCCCCAGGTGCCACATCCACACGGTTTCAAACCCCTGCAGGGATGGGGACTCCCTCACTGCCCTGGGCAGCCCCTGCCAGTGCTGAGAACCCTTTGGGGAAGAAAACCTCCCCAGGTGTAAATACCTGCAACGCATCCCCAACGAGCAGAGCCCAGCCACGGCTGTGGGCGCCCGCTCGCTTTGCATTCCCCTTCCGAAAACCGAAGGGGAACGGGAGCGGCGTAAATCCTCCTTGTGCGTTAAATCAGATTACGCCCGGGTTGCTTGGATACCGTACAACCACCGGCCCGGCCAGCCATAATTTAATACAGAGTAATTGGTAGTCGAGCTTGGGCGCAGAGGAGCAGTAAATATTTCGGCGTTGCGCTGGTTTGCAGTCAGCACCGGGCGAAGGAGCAGAGACGCAGCGGAGCCGGGGGCGCTGGGGCTGGGGAGCGCTGCCCCGGCCCTCTTTCATTTCACAGACGTTAACGATCGCGGTCCCTTCAGTCAACAGCTCCCATTCATCCTCATGGCAAGCCAATTAAAGAACTCATTTGCTTCTCCGGCGACCTGCAGGGAGCGGAGCTGAGGGTGACACAAAGCGAGATCTCGGGGCTGTGAAGGGGCATCGGTGCTGTTATTTAATACCGACGGACACGACCCAGCCGGTGCGTGCCGCTGCCTCCACCGATATATAACACACACATACACAAGCCTGAGCCAAAGAGCGCTGTGAGCGGCTCAAGTATCTTGCCTGATTCAGAGAAAAAAAATCTCTGCGAAAAACAAACATCTGCCAGGGAACAAAAGGCAAAGTCTGGAGTGTTTCTATTTCCAGGCCTGGGACAAAGCTCGGAAAACAAAGTGCTTGTTCTGGCTGCCCTGCCAGGACCTTACGGGGTGGAAAATAGCGCAGCTAATTCGCATCGCGACAGGTAGGGCGGTGTTTTCTGTCTGCCACCACCGTTACAGCTTCTATTTAACGTGAAAAGTCAACGCGCGGAGGCTTAGCAAGCTCTAAAATTACTTAGGAAGTAGAAATTCAACAAGTCTGGGCATGAATGGAAGACAAAAAGCACCGGGAATGCAGACAGCACACGGGACGAGAGGCACCTATGGATGGGAGCGACCCCGCAGTGCCCCCTGGTTAATCTGGAGCGAGTGGGCGCACACAATTGGTGGTGTTTATCGGGTAAAACCTAACGAGTTCTGGGAAATGGTCCTGGGTGCACTCGAGCCGTCCCCGTGCATTGCTGCGCTCAATTGGGCCGCAGCTGACGAGCGTGCGGGTGGAGAGCGGGGCCAGGAGCCACAGCGCCCACGAACAGGAGCCCAGCACCGAGCTTTGTCAACAGCAAGCTTGAAGGAAAGGGTTAAAACAAGACTAGTACCAATAATGATGAAGATATTCCGAGTCGGTAAAAGGAGGTGTTTTAAAAATCAAGGCTCCTCTCTTGCGATATCAGAAACAGAGGGGACTGGAAATGGAAATTTGCGGAGATGTTAGGGATGGAAGAGACCTCCAGGATGATCAAGTCCAACCGCCAGCCCAACCCCACACGACAGACCACCAGGGAGATGCAAAACCTCCTGGCAAAGACAAGGAGAACCTTCCTGAAAGCCACTGGACGTGGAGGATGAAGGGGTTTTGGTGAGTGGCCGTGCTGCCCCTGCATGGTTTGACTTGCTCCGACGGGACTCACTTTATTCCCCTGTGAACCAGGCTGGGTGCTGGGGTTGGCTCCCAGGGAAAAAACCCAACTAAAGGGAAACGCGCTCGTACCGCACGGAGCAGGCGCAGAGGCCGAACTGCGGCTCGGTGTGGGCGAGCCTCATGGTGCCAATGCCGTGCGTGCTGCGACCCGCATGGGAAACGCGGATGGTGCTGCAATGCTCCTCATGCGGCTTCCCAAAGCCACCCTCTGCCCTTGGGCAAGCGGAGA